GAGAAGAAGATTTTTGAAATTTTAGTCAATTTGACCCTTTTTGGCCCCGCCCCTCAGGCCCCGGGGGGCTTAGGACTAAACCGGCAACTATTTTTGTTGACCTTTGTCCATGGAAGGTCCCTGCAAAATTTCATTGAAATTGGTTCAGAGGTTTTGGAGAAGAAGATTTTTGAAATTTTAGTCAATTTGACCCTTTTTGGCCCCGCCCCTCAGGCCCCGGGGGGCTTAGGACTAAACCGGCAACTATTTTTGTTGACCTTTGTCCATGGAAGGTCCCTGCAAAATTTCATTGAAACTGGTTTAGGGGTTTTGGAGAAGAAGTCGAAAATGTAAATTGTTTACGGACGGACGACGACGGACAAAAGGCGATCGCAATAGGTCACTTGAGACTTTGTCTCAGGTGACCTAAAAATATAAACATCCAAGAAACACAAGCATAACAAGTTTGGCAACATAGTTGAAATAGCATTGGATTTATGCTCTCGACAATCAATCTTTTGTATAAAATATGAAGAAAGGGTCATAGCTGTATTTTTAAGCCAGTTATGGAATGATGTGGAAAATGATGTGGAAAAACATATGAACTTCCGTCAAAATAAAAAAAGTCTCTTGCCTACTAGCCCGATTTGAAGAAACTTTCATAACTGAATCTTTTACTATTTATGGTGTTTATATTGTATCATTGTTGTCCCTTTAAGTGAAACACTCACGATGCACAGATGTTGAGAGTTCTCCTCTTGCAGTCGTTCCCCACCTCCTTAGAGCGGAATGCGCTCACTCGTATGTTAAACGCGGGGCCTGTAGGGGGTTCATCTATGTTGTACTTCATATGAGCCTACACAAGTAAACAGTTTACAAACAAAATGTACTCGTTTCTTATTATCATGTTATAATTTTTATATGACAATAAAAAGTAAAATCCAAAGCCAAGGGATCCTTTATGAATTCTGACAGGTGGTTGATGTACAAGTCTGAAAAGGATTATTTCATTTAAGATACAATTTTCAAAGTACTGTTTATTATTTAAACAAGCCATTCGGATTGCTATGTCTCGCCTATGCCCCGCTTTGACCATCAATGCACATATCAGAGAAACTTAAATACAAAAACTTAATGTTGATGGAGATGCTGACCAAGTCAATGGACCATGAAAGGTAGGCCGCATCTAACATTTGATGCATGGGTTGAGATGTACTACCTAAGATGCATGCATGGTGCAAGTTTGGTTGGTGTAGCACTTATACTTTCAGAGAATCTAACTTGCACACAAAAACCTAATGTTGACGACGCCATCGCAGGAAAAGCAACACCTATGTCTCGCTTACACTTGGTGGCGGCGAGACAAAAACGAGGGCCTTGAATCTATCAATGTTTTTGTTTTTACCTAGCTCCTCTGCCTCAAGGAGAGCGAGTCCCTTTATTTGTATAACTTTAGATAGTATTATGCAATGCCAAGTTGTCAGAACTAATGAATGTGAACAATGTTATAATTTTAAGAAAATATCAAAAATATGTTTTAAAAAGTCACATGATTTGTCCTCCCTACTTATTACATTTAATTTTGTATACGGTTGTAAATATGTTTTCTCTGTACATTTGTAATTTGTTAAAAAGGAATAAAATTAAAGTTAAGATCCCATGCTCTAAAGATATTTGTTAACATCAAAATTTAGTTGAATTTTGCTCAAGTCAGCAGAGGATAGACAACAGATGATAAAATACAGACAGATCAAGCACCTTGCCACATACTCTCACCCTGGTACCTCAAATCATACTCCGTGCTTAGCTCTAGACAGGATAGCATACAACCTCTTTGCCTATGCTGGGTATACCTGTATGACCTCGTTACCTACAGGATAGAACTAAGTGTATGAACTTAATTATAGTAGGAATTACTGGTTTATCTATACATGCAGTATGTTTAGCATCCTTTTCCTGAATAAAATTACCTGTAAAAATGTATGACCTTGACCTTCCTTACCTGTTCAATAGAATATCAACTGCATGACTTGATTTATACTAGGTTTGATCTGTTATATATCTGTATGATCACCTGTATGACCTTAATCATATAAGACATTACCTGTTTGACCTACCTGTACTAAACATTACTTGTTTTGCCTACTTACCTGTATAAGAGCACAGCCAACACCATAGACCTCTGTCTCCAATGTGTCAGGAACAACTTCCAATGGCGATGATTGGAGGACAAGGTTATTGTCGCCGGTGATACTGAACACCCTCTCCTCATTACGTATGCCCCTAAAGGTTATATCTAAGTGCATCCCTCCACGGTAGACCAGCGTTGCATACACAGACAGGGCCTGGAGACCTATAACTGTATCCTGTAACACACAACATGTGTGCATATTCAGGCCTTCAAAATCATAAACTGTTTATTATATTATTTTTTTTTATTATTTTTTTTTATTATTATATTTTTGCGATATTAACTACTTATATTGCTGGCATTAAAATTGCATGCAGCGGTGCCTGAAAATCTATCAATTATTGTTTTTTGGCCTAACTTCTGATATTCGTTTATCTATAACCTCAAACCACATTTTAATAGTGATAAAATTGTCTGTAACACAAGCAGACAACTAACCTGGGTAGAAGAGAACCCTCCCAGTGTGTTTCTCTGTTTGGTCAGCCACATGACAATTGGCTGGGCATTGATGACAGCGTTGTCCTGTTCCCCTATGATGGTAGACAGCAGGATGTAGGACGTGATCTCAATCTCGGCTGACGGTGCCCTGTACCACTGCCAGGAGTAGGGCTCTGGAGTTGCCTCCTCCTCATCATTACGAGTCCAGTACTTCAGTATGCCATCGTCTGGTAATAAAAGCTTCATATGAATCCTTTTGCAGTGCCAATAATTTCAAGGAAAGTGAACATTCAAATATCAAATTAATTTTATAAAACAAATTCATCAAATTCATAAACATGACATGGAACGGCAACAAATCTACCATATCACTAGAACAACTGTACCTCGTAAAAAGCTACGGACAATTCCATCATATTTACATTTCCCATGAATTGACAATTTGCATTGTTCCTAGTGATATTGCAATGATAATACACATGCTGCTTTAAATTGGGATCAATAATGGTTTCAACTATAAAAGACTTTTCCGAAATGAAATATATTATCACATTCAAGACGAGGTTTAGACACTTGACATAAGTAGCTACTAATGTCAGGCATGGAGTCTTTGTTTACCATTCCATTGTTCTAAAGCTCTAGACATTAGGCTTACTACATTTGTTTCCAGTTTATTCCTAGAAATATCGCATACTAAAAAGTGACCAGATTTTCGGTTGATATTACCTCTGAACATAGCTCTTTCCTCCAGTTCGGCCATCACCTCTGACCTCTGTGGCCAGTTGACATCATACAGGGTGTAGGCATAGGCCATCAAGGACAGGGTGTAGGTGTCGTTGTTGTCCTGGACGTCTAGGCATCTTACAGCACTAGTTACAGCCGTATCCTGAAATTCAATCAAAGCTCATCTGACCACTACAAAACTTAAAACCGTTATCTCACAACTACAGACACCATCATCGTCTTTACAAATCCTTCTATAAATGAACATAAAACAAAGATTACACCTGGTGTATATACACAGAGGTTAGAATCATTTTGCTGGAGTTCTTGTACAACAGATCTAAGTTGTTGATCCTCCAAGGGATGCTGACCTCTAACATGGCAATATAAAATATACACCTTCCTAACAATGTTACAAAGGGTCTCTTCCACATGATAATAAATCCTTTGCAGTTTTATTGAGTAATGATGCTGCCCTTGAACATCACAGTAAGTCATGTACTGACTTACTGCTGCCTTAAACATGATATTATGTTATAATGCACAGATTTACTGATGTGTTGGCCTCATACATGACGATGTACGTTCAATCTGATGTATGAACATGGCTACAAGTTAAGCAGTATAGAAAGCCATGCATTGTCTTCCCAAATTTGGACTTCAATCAATTAGTTACGTACCATCTTGCTGACTCCTGCCTCCAGCATTGCAATAATTACGAAGGCAGTCATGGCCGCCTCGTTGCTGTCTTTACTGATGCCACCCTTCAGGTAGTAACTGTGGGTGTAGCCTATCTTAGGGAAACAGCCATTCTCTAGCTGCCTCCTTCTGAACCAGTTGAGACTTTTGACAAGGTCGTCGTTGTCGATATCAATGAAGGGCTGAGATTGACCGAAGCACTTGACAACAAATGCCGTTAACCACATGCTGCCATCAGCGTTGGAGTTACCGAAGGCACTGTAAGAACCATCATCATGGCGATAGTTCAACTGTCTCTGGTATCCTGAAATGGTGAAGTTAATTTCACAAAATTTCATATGAAACAATGACCAAATATCAAAAACCTACATACGAAATTTGAGAAAGATCTGTTCTGTAATTTTTGAGCAATAAGGATAACAAGAATTGTTGCAAGAAATAAACTTATTTTGTCAATTCATACTTTTTGAGATTTAAACTGACCTATTCTCATATAGTTGAGAGCTTCTGTCTCAATCTTGCTGGTGAGTTGGTTGGTGTTGGTGAGATACTGAAGGACCACAATGTTAGGAGACCAAGAAGCCATGTTCTGTTCTCCACAACCATAGGGCATCCTTAGCAATCCTTGGAGGTTAGACAATGCCGGGCCCATGATGTCACCTGAAGCAAATCATCATTCATAGCTTTACCAAACATCACTGTTCCAATCTAGTTTCAGTACCCATATTATTTCTGACCCATATTGTTCCAGTACCCATATTGTTCCAGTACCCATATTGTTCAAGTACCCATATTGTTCAAGTACCCATATTGTTCCAGTACCCATATTATTTCTTACCCATTTTGTTCAAGTACCCATATTGTTCCAGTACCCATACTATTTCTTACCCATATTGTTCAAGTACCCATATTGTTCCAGTACCCATATTGTTCAAGTACCCATATTGTTCCAGTACCCATATTATTTATGACCCATATTGTTTCAGTACCCATATTATTTCTTACCCATATTGTTCCAGTACCCATATTATTCCTGTATCAATATTGTTCCAATGTACCCATATTATTACTGTATCAATATTGTTCCAATGCACCCATATTATTCCTGTATCAGAACTGCTCTCCGTTGTAACAATGTATATAAGTACTCAACAACAATTTACATATGTTCCTGTAAACAAGAAATCAATATGCCATCTATAGCAAGACTTTGTGATGATTTCTTGTTTACTTCACTTGTCATTAAAACAAGACACACTGTCGATACACCTACCTATGACACTGACTTTGCCCCTCGCGGAATCTTCCACAACTCCAGTAGGGGGAAGCAGCAGGTCTATCGTTGTAAACTTAGATTCACCTGCAAACATACAGACAATTTATTTGTAAATTCTTTTAACATGTTCTTAAGAAAACAAATGTCCATTCACTAAATGACCTTGGCCTTGACTTCAAACTATGAAATATGAACTCATTCAATCTATTCTCGTTACTGACCTTATACCTTATAGCATATAGTGAGTTATTGTTTATAACAAAGTGATAAGTCGCTAACTAATAAGTAGTTACAGGTTTAACCTATTGGTTAGTGGTTACAGGTTTAACCTAATGGTAAGTAGTTACAGGTTTAACCTAATGGTTAGTAGTTACCAGTTTAACCTAATAGTTAGTAGTTTCCAGTTTAACCTAATGGTAAGTAGTTACAGGTTTAACCTAATGGTAAGCAGTTACAGGTTTAACCTAATGGTTAGTAGTAACAGGTTTAACCTAATGGTTAGTAGTTACCAGTTTAACCTAATGGTTAGTAGTTTCCAGTTTAACCTAATGGTAAGTAGTTACAAGTTTAACCTAATGGTAAGTAGTTACAGGTTTAACCTAATGGTTAGTAGTTACAGGTTTAACCTAATGGTTAGTAGTTACCAGTTTAACCTAATGGTTAGTAGTTTCCAGTTTAACCTAATGGTAAGTAGTTACAGGTTTAACCTAATGGTAAGTAGTTACAGGTTTAACCTAATGGTTAGTAGTTACAGGTTTAACCTAATGGTTAGTAGTTACAGGTTTAACCTAATGGTTAGTAGTTACAGGTTTAACCTAATGGTTAGTAGTTACAGGTTTAACCTAATGGTTAGTAGTTACAGGTTTAACCTAATGGTTAGTAGTTACAGGTTTAACCTAATGGTTAGTAGTTACAGGTTTAACCTAATGGTTAGTAGTTACAGGTTTAACCTAATGGTTAGTAGTTACAGGTTTAACCTAATGGTTAGTAGTTACAGGTTTAACCTAATGGTAAGTAGTTACAGGTTAAACCTAATGGGTAGTAGTTACATGTTTAACCTAATGGTTAGTAGTTACATGTTTAACCTAATGGTAAGTAGTTACAGGTTTAACCTAATGGTTAGTAGTTACAGGTTTAGGCCATGGTACAGGGATCTTTAATCAATTCTTATATGAGATGATAAAACTCATCCTGACATTTCTTTCCACACTTGGCAAGCGCCATTGAATTTGTAATTGTTGCCCTCAGCTTCATAAATCATATATGCAATGGAAAATCATTTAATATGTTTTATGTATTTATTTCAATCCTGCATAACAGAAACACAGTCCATACCTTCAGCACACATGTAGGAACTGAATGTATATTCCTTTTCCACACCTTCAGCCTGAAACAGAATATTATTTTGAAGTTGATTCTCTTTAATGCATATTTTTAGGAAGGGTTTTCTGAAGCATTCTATCAAGAAATAACTTGCTAAGTTACATTCAGTGTTTAAATGGAATATATAACACATGCAATGATTAATTTGTAGTTTCATTATCCCATGTATACTGTGCTATATAGTTAAGGATGTCTGCTGCCTACTGGGATAGGTATCTCCTAATTCAAATGAGTTATGAAGGGAATGTGTAGAAAGCCTATTTGGTAGTTATATAGACAGGGTTAATTAATTGATGACATACTTGAAAGTTACACAAAATAAATTCATAACACACATTTAATTCTTGATAAAACAAGACACATTCAAGGGAGACAATTCTGACATAAGGTTATCATTTATCTAATTTTATATATATTACGTAGCTGTTGTCTTGGTAAATCTGAAGACAAGCATATCTACAAACCTCAATAAGGAGCATCCTTTTGACAGCATCTGACACTCCTGTTGTCTCATCGCTGACAGCGTTGTTACCACAAGTGCCGTCGTCCTGGATAGACTCCGCCTAAAATAGTGTCGATGATGACAAACTTGGAAGGCAGATCTGCATCCATGCACTAGTGTATTGACAATGGATGACATTTTTCATCTTATAGGCCCTTACACAAGGATACTCAAGGGTTAATATATTTATTTTCATAACTGTAATAGAATTTATTCTTTAAAACAAAAAGCAGTAAAACTCTAAAAAAAAAATGAGATTTGAAATCAACCTCTTTTATGTAACATTTTGAAATTGCATATTTGCTGTTTTATTGCTTCACAATTAACTTTGATAAAAAATAAGAATCAAAATGAAATATTTAATGTAATGTTGTAGATTCTATCAAAGAGTGACTGCTTTCAACCTTTCTGAGTAGTGGGTGTAAATATCTCTGAATATGTAAACAGTCTGGTCTACTTAACTACAGAACTTATATGTAATTAATAGCTGATCTTACTGCGGCCAGGATTTCTATCTCCCCAAGCTGTGTAGGTTTGATGTAGTACTTGATGCTGTCCGAGTCTCCACCACACACACACCTCTGGACAACTCGGTCAGCGGACATCAGCTCAAAACCATCGGAAGGCTCAAGTCTCACCAGCATCTAAACAGAAACATCATTTAAATCTAAAAATAAAGAGGGGCTGGCCTTCAAGTGGATTTTCAGACACCCAAAACCAAAACCATACAACTAATGTTTGCCCAAGTTCTTTGGGAGGAGATGCCTTTTAAGCAATCAGACTATTTGTCCCCTTTTAAACCAGCCAATCACAAATCAGACTATTTGACCCCTTTTAAACCAATCAATCAGTCCCCGGGAGGTTTAGTCCCTTTGATAGTTTGATAGATGATGTTAATGCAAAACTTGACGTAGGACAGATGACAAACATCAGATGACAGACAACATAGGGAGGACTTTTAATCGATGGACATAGCAAAGCCTCCAGTTTTTATGCAAGGTGAGCTAATTAATAGTAATAACTAGACCTGTCGTCCGGGGGACAACTAATACCCCCCCGTCGCCTAGGAAGTTGGAGAAAATGAGGCTGTGATGTAAAGGGTCAGATTTAGTATGAAGAGAGTCGGAAAATGAATGAAATGCACTCGACACACTTTTGGCTTACAGTTTTATGCTACAGTACCGAGTTAAACTTTCTACACAAAGAAACATTACATTGCATCTACATTGCGTCAATTTCATTGAAATCCATGCAGTAGTTTAGGAGAATATCTGGTACTACTAAGTATAATGGTAAAAGTTTAAACCGCGAAAAGTTGAAACCTGACAAAAAAACTGTTATATATGTTAATCATTATTGCTTCTAGTACTACCATACGAAATTTGGAAGGAATTGAATAACAATAGGCCCATGGGCCTTAACGGTCACCTGATATATTTATACAGAGAGTTGATTTTTGTTTTTAACATGAACAGAAATATTATTCAAAGTGACAAAAAACAATAAAACCACCTTATTCAATATCTAGCTTGCAGATTTAAGACTGAAAAGTATTTGAAACTAGCACCTCTGATTCTAAACAAGGAAAATGAAGAAATTTTATTTTAGCACACAGACACCATTGGGCCCAACCCTACAGCCCTTGGGGGTAGGGATGGCTCAAAATTTACAAAGTATCAAACTGTCAACTTAGGGTTATAATTCCAATCAAGTTATCAACATGTAATATTCAAAGTATCATTTGCCATTATAAACCATAACAAATT